CAACACAATCATAATAATCCGCAGCATAGTCATGCAACCAGTCATCGAAGGCACAAAATGGATCCCCTGTGACTGGCGACTTCTCGCAGTGTGCGGGGGAGGACGCAACGCCCTCATAGCCTTCAAACGTACACGAAAAGCCATCGCACCGATCTGGGAAGGAGTTGGGGTGGAAGAACGTAGCAGAGCGAGACACACGCAGTGGGACCAGGGGTGGGTGGGTGGATGAAGAAACATAAGGTGTAACGGCTGAGCAGGGCAATAACACACGGCTGAGTAGCGCACAGCTGCATGCGCTAGATAACAGCTGCAGAAGCTGTGACACAGAAGCACACTGCAGCCATTGAACACAGATGCACAACCGTCAGCACTTACCCTTGCACGTATTATCCGCCTGCATCTCGAAACCAATGTCACAAACACATGACGCCACTCCATTACTGTTGTTACAGTGCTTGTTCGCACCACAGGTCATTGAAAGGCACGGGTCTGCGTGGGGTAGAGAGGGATGGGGGAGGGGAGTGATGAATGAAGTGGAGGGATGGGCGAGGGTGGTGTAGAGGGGACTGTGTTGTTGCAGTGCTTGTTCAGACCAGATGGGTCTGCTTGTCACAGCGCATCGAACGGTGTGGGTCTGCGTGGGGTTAGAGGCGGTGCAGGGGAAGAGGGGTGGCAGGAACGTGAACTGAGGGGCAGTGCGGTTCAAGATAAAAGACGACGAGATTGGTAAAGCCATTGGCACTGGGGGCAGCACAGCAGCACTTCAAGCTAGCATCACCCACCAGGAGGAGGTTGGCTGCACGTCCTGCCATCCGCCTGCAGCACGTAGCCAGGGTTACAGTCACAGAAAGCCCCGTTACTACCACGAAAGCATTGGCTGTTGGCACTACAGTTCTTGACCACACAGGCATCTGCGTGGAGGGAGAGGCAGAAAAACGCGGAGAGGAAGGGTGGAGGGAAAATGAACTTAAGAGCCATCACAGAATCACAGGGTAGCGCACAGAATCACAGGGTAGCACACAGAATCACAGGGTAGCACACAGAATCACAGGGTAGAATCACAGGGTAGCACACAGACAGAATCACAGGGTAGCGCACAGAATCACAGGGTAGCGCACAGAATCACAGGGTAGCACACAGAATTACATAGAATAGCACAGAGTCCAGCACATACCAGTGCACGTCCTGTTATCCGCCTGCAGCACGAAGCCAGTGTTACACACACAAAAAGCCCCATTGCCAGCAGGAAAACACTGGCTGTTGGGACCACAGTTCTTGATCTGACAGACATCTGCGTGGGGGACGAGGCAGACAAGAGGGGAGGGGAGGGGTCGAGTCGAGGGGACATGAGTTTACAAGGAGACACAGCAGCACACAGAGTAGCGCACAGCAGAAAAGAGGTCAGCACACAGAGCAGCGCACAGCAGGTTCAACACTTACGAGCACACGTCCTGCCATCCAGCAGCAGCGCAAAACCATCTTGACAAACGCAGGACGCCACTCCTAATCCGTCCTGGATGCACCCTCCATTCACACAGTTCTTGATCTCGCAGGTGTCTGGGTGGAGGAGGGATGGGAGAGGGAAGGAGTGAGGAGTGGAGTAGGGATGGTGTTGAAGGGGCGTGAAATTAGGAGAAACCTCAGCAGTACACAGAGTAGCGCACAGAGTCACACAGAGTAGCACACAGCAGTTTCATCACATACCTTTGCACGTCCTGCCATCTGCCTGCAGAACGTAGCCAGTGCTACATTCACAGGACGCCGCTCCAGATCCGTCCTTGATGCACCGGCCCCTCACACAGTTCTTGATGACGCAGGTGTCTGGGTGGAGGAGGGATGGGGGAGGGGAGGAGTGAGGGGTGGAGGAAATGGGCGAGGATGGAATAGAAGGGATGTGAACAGGACGAGAGAAATGAGCAGAAGTGTGAGTACGGACATGCACACAAGGAGTATGGGGAGGGTTGAGGGGAAAGAGGCCAAGCGAGGGAAACGGGTAAAGAGCGAGTTAGAAAAAAGCAGGGAAGTGAAGGAGGGAGAGAGGAAAGGAGGGAGGAAAGGAGTGAGGAGGGGGAGAGGGAGAGATAAACTGCAAATAGAGGGCTAGTGAGAGCAAAAATGAAACGTTTAACCAGCTAATCAGAACAATGATGCGTACCAGTGCAAGTGCCTTCCAGCATCTGGAAGCCCGTGTTGCAAACACAGGATGCCACGCCTTGAGCGTCCTTCACACAATTAGCATTGGCACCACAGCTCTTGATGACGCAAGTATCTGAAAGGAGGCATGTAGATAAAAGGATTAGAAGAGTATGGCACGAACAAAACAGACGAGAATGGAGGGGGCAGCAAGGAGGGAATGGAGGGTGGGAAGAAGAGAAGGCAGTGAGGAAATGCAAGAGGGAAGAGAAGGAGAGAGTGGAGGGAGGGAGATGCAATGTCAATATAGAGAATTAGCGAGACTATACAGCTAATCTGAAAGATTCAGATAGCACAGGTTGTGTTGCACTGCACAGCACGCACCAGTGCATGTGGAACCGTCAGGCTGCAGAGCAAAGCCAACGTCGCAAACGCAGGACGCCACTCCAGCACTGTCCTTGGTGCACTTGCCGTTAATGCCACACTTCTTGAGCGCACATGTGTCTGGGCGAGTGGAGAGCAGGGGGAACGTGTGGGGTGAGAGGGAAAAGACTCGAGGGAGAGGCACAAGATTCACAGCAGCACTCACTTTATAAGCAGATGCAGTGCAAGACTGGTGTGCCTCACACGGAATGGCACTTACCTAGGTGACTTTTGAGTCGACTCAAAACTTACCGGTACACATCCTGCCATCCGCCTGCAGCACGAAGCCAGTGTCACACACACAGGACGCCGCTCCAGTAATCTCGTCCTTGATGCACCGGCCGTTCGCACTGCAGCTCTGCATCTTGCAGGTGTCTGGGTGGGGGGAGCGATGGGGGAGGGGAGTAAGGAGTGGAGGAAAGGAAAATGGGCGAGGCAAGGAGTGTGAGTACAGACGTGCACACAAGGAGTATGGGGAGGTTTGAGGGGAAAGGGGCCAAGCAAGGGAGGGTTAAGAGTGAATGGGGGACGGAAGGAAAGAGGCAAGGAGGGAGGGGAGGAGGGAGAGAGGGAGAGATTGGCTGTGAACAGATGGCTAGTGGGGGCGAAACGAGAACGAATACACGGCTTATTGGAAAGATTATGCGTACCAATGCAAAGGCCTTTCACCATCTGGAAGCCCGTTCTGCAAACACAGGATGCCACGCCTTCACCATCCTTCACACAAGCAGCATTGCCACCACAGTTCTTGGTGACGCACATATCTGAAAGGAGGCATGCATAGAAGTGAGTTGAAAAGAAGAGTAAGGCACGAAAGAAAAACAGATGAGAATGAGATTCACAGCAGCACTCACTTGATAAGCAAAGGCAGTGCAAGACTGGCGTGCGTTGTCGTCAAGTGCTGGCGCTTGCAATCAATTAGCACATTGAAGCACAAGGCGGCATGGAACATGGCATCTCACAAGGCATGGCACCTGCCTGTGCATAGCCCATGGCATGGCACATGGCATGGCACATGGCACATGGCATGGCACATGGCACATGGCATGGCACACAGCATCTTACCGGTGCATGTGGTGCCGTCAGCCTGCAGAGAAAAGCCAGCGTTGCACACACAGGACGCCACTCCAGCACTGTCCTTGATGCACTTGCCGTTGCTGCCACACGCCTTGAGCGCGCATGAGTCTGGGGAAGGGGGCCAGAGGGGAGGGAGTTGGGCGGGCAACGGGTGATTGAGCGAACGAGGGGTGACAGAGAATGGGTAAATATGGGAAAGGACAAGGACTGCCCAACTGACAAGCATCGACGCACTCTGACAATGATAGCACAAGGTGTGGCACATGGCATGGCGCATTCGTAGCACCAGGCAGGCATGGCACATTGCACTAACAAGGCATGGCACATGGCATAGGACAGGACAAGGCATCGCCTAAATGGCAGAGGACATTTGAGCCGACTCAAAAGGCACATGGTATGGCATGCACATACCGGTGCACGTGACGCCATCAGGCTGCAGCAGGAAGCCAGAGTCACACACGCAGGACGCCACTCCTGCAGAGCTCTTCACACACTTGGCGTTACTCCCACACCTCTTGAGCACACACGTGTCTGCCAAGGAAAAGGGTAAAAATGCATGATAGTGAGTGGGGAAGGCAATCCCTATTTAAGCGATGAAGGACGAGGCAGAGAGAGTGTACAAGGTGGAAAGTGTTTGATACGTGACAGACAGCCTAAAATAAGCAGGGGGAACTGCATGACTGTCGCTTTGTAATCACACTTCAGCACATACGCACCAGCGCATGTAATCTTGTCAGCCTGCAGCACGAAGCCAGTGTTGCACACGCAGGACGCCACTCCTGCACTGCCCTTGATGCACTTGCCGTTGCTGCCACACGCCTTGAGCGCGCAGTTGTTGTGAAGATTGTGAATTGAACAAGTAATTAGATTAGAGGAACAACCTAGCATACATAGTTGGAAGGGAAGGTTGGAAGGGAAGGATGAAAGTGACCATAGGTTGGGTTGACCTCACTTGGGGAAGTGAGGGAACCATAGGTCAAGTGGGTTGGGTTGCCCACACTTTGTAGAAGTGAGGAAACCCTAGGCCCACTTGGCTTGGGGTAACCTCAATTGTGGGAAGTGAGGTACCCACAAGTCAAGAGGGTTGCATTTGGGGGCTCCACCACAATTGGGTGGATTGGCACCCCAAAGTGCAAGACTACACCCAAAGTTGGGTGTAGTCCCAACCCAACTGTACACCACAATTGGTGTACAGTCACATGTGTTGGCATGCTACACAATATATATTTTAACACAACCCCTTAGCATGCTAACACAAGAAGAGAACAACCCCTGAATCAAGGGGCGCCCGGGCGAGCAAGGCCAATGAGGCGGAGGAAGGCAGAGTGCGCGGGGCGAAGGAGGGCCTTAGTGAAGATGTCGGCCAAGTTGGCCTCGGTTGCAATCTTGCGAACGGCAATGAGGCCCTTCTGGACGAGCTCGCGAATGAAGAAGTAGCGGAGTTCGATGTGCTTGGAGCGGGCGTGATAGACGGGGTCCTGAGTGAGATGGATGGTGCTGGCGTTGTCGCACCAGAGAGTGGGGCACGTCTGGGGGGCGCCAAGCTCTGCAAGAAGGAAGCAGAGCCAGCGCGACTCCTGGGCGGCCATGGTGCCAGCGTAGAGCTCGGCTTCGCAGGTGGAGAGAGAGATGGCGGAGGAGCGGGTGGAGCGCCAGCTGATGAGGCCGCTGCCAAGGGTGAAGCCGTAGCCCTGGGAGGAGCGGCGGTCCGGCTGCGTGTCAGCCCATGAGGAGTCACTGAAGCCCGAGAGAAGGGGACGGGAAGGGCCGCCGAGGGTGAGGGCAAGGTCCCTGGTCCCGCGAAGGTAGCGGAGGACCCGCTTGGCAGCCTTCCAGTGCTCCTCAGAGTGACGACCGGTGCCGACAAAGCGAGCGAGCACGCTGATGGGGTAGGCGAGGTCGGGGCGGGTGCACATCATTGCGTACATCAAGGACCCAACGAGCTCGGCATAGGGGTGGGGGGAGGAGGTGGGGGAGGTGGGTGGAGCGAGTTGGTGACCGAAGGGGAGCGGGGTGGAAACAGGCTTGGCTTGCGCCATGTCGAACTTCTCCAAGACCTGGCCGATGTAATGGGACTGGGAGAGGGTGATTGTGCGAGCAGGGCGGTTGCGCGTGATGGTCATGCCGAGGTAGTGAGTGAGGGCGCCAAGGTCCTTGCACTTGAGCCGCTGCTGCAGGGACAGCTTCACCTGCTCCATGTCGGCCTTGGTGTCAGAGAGCAGGATCATGTCGTCGACATATACCAGAATGAAGAAGCGGCGGGGGGAGGAGCGGATGAAGAGGCTGGCGTCGGAGTGGGAAGCAGAGAAGCCGAGGGACCCCAAGGTGGCAGCCAGCTTCGCATGCCACTCACGCGGTGCCTGCTTCAAGCCGTAGACGGGGCGACGCAGCTGCCAGACAGTGTTCTCAGGAAAGGCTGCGTGGAACCCGGGGGGTCGCCGGAGGAAAATGCGCTCATGCAGGTCGCCCTGCAGGAACGCATTGGAGACGTCCATGGAGTCGATTTCCATGTCGTCACGTGCACCAATGTCCATGGCGGCGCGAAGGGTGGGTGGTTTGGCGGTGGGGGCGTAGGTGAACCAGTAGTCCTCAGCCCAAGTCTGCGTGAACCCCTTGGCGCAGTAGCGGGCCTTGTACACTGGTTCCTCGCCCGGCAGCTGCTTCACCCGAAAGACCCATTTGCCGTCAACGAGATTAGCGCCAGCAGGGAGGGGGACATCGACAAAGGAGTCGTTGCGAATGAAAGCCTCACACTCCAGGAAGATCGCTGCTATCCATTTATCCGCATCAGGGCAGGTGATGGCTTCCTGGAAGGTGGAGGGAGTGAAGATGGTGGGGGTAGTAGTGGCGCCAAGGACAGGAAAGCCCAGGAAGTCAAGGTAGAGGGCGGCAAGGAATGGAGTGTGCTCCCGAATGTTAAGAAACTCCTCATGGGAGTCCTCAAGGAGCTGAATGGAGGCAGGAGGAGGAGCCCCAAGGATTTTGTCCACAGAGCGGGTATGGATGTAAGGGAGGAGGAAGGGGGAGGAACGGGAAGTGGCACGACGCCGCTGCTGCTGCTGGTGCTGCGGAAGCTGCTGCCCTTGTTGCTGCGGCTGCGGCTGACCGTGCTGGTGCTGCGGCTGCTGAGGCTGCTGAGGCTGCTGCTGCCGCTGCTGCTGCTGCTGCTGCTGTCCCGGCTGCCGCTGCTGCTGCTGCTGCTGGCCCGGCTGCTGCTGCTGCTGCTGGCCCGGCTGCTGCTGCTGCTGCTGCTGCCCCGGCTGCTGTCCCGGCTGCTGCTGCTGCTGCTGTTGCTGCTGCGGCTGCTGCTGCTGCTGCTGTTGCTGCTGCTGCTGCTGATCCGGCTGCTGGAAGGAGGGAGAGGGAGAGGAGGACGGAGGGGGGGGAGGGGGTGCGGCCGAGTGAGCGGGGGAAGCGGGTGCGGCAGGGTCGTAGACATCGGCGGAGGAGGAGGGCGGGAGCGGAGCTGCGACGGGTGGGAGGAGAGGGGCTGGAGGGAGAAGGGGCGGGAGGACGGTGTCGGTCCAAGCAAGGGGACGAGTGGGAGGAGGGAGAGGATCAGGGGGAGGAGTGGAGTAATAGGGGACGGATTCGTCGAAGACGACGTCGCCGCTGCGGATGAGGCGATTGGTGGGA